GGCCGGAGGGCGGGAAGCTGGTGGAGCTGGTGGTGGCTGAGCCACGGCGGCAGGAGAAGAAGCACGAGGCGGTGGAGCTGCCCCGCGTGGGGCTCACGGACATCGATCTGCAGTGGGTCCATGTCCTGAGCGAAGGCTGGGCCAGCCCGCTTCGAGGGTTCATGAGAGAATCCGAGTTCCTCCAAACTCTTCATTTCAACTCGCTCCGTCTCGACGATGGCTCCGTCGTCAACATGTCGGTGCCTATTGTTCTCGCCATTGATGATGAACAGAAGGCCCGGATCGGCGAGTCCACCCGGGTCACGCTCGTTGACTCGGAGAATAACCCTATCGCTATCCTCAACGAGTAAGTTCATCATGAACGCTGCTTCTGTTCGTCTGTTTTCTCGGCTTTAGATTTGAACTCAAGATTGCTGTTGGGTTTTACTCAAATTCAAGAAACCGAAAGATTCGGAGGTTGCAACGATGCCATCTTAAATTTCTTTCAGATTCATATCTACGCAGTAAACTATAAGATTAGTTTTCCCTGCCAGCAAATTAGCATCTTCATGCCTGTGACCGTGATGTAAAGTAGTTGACTGGCTTTGGTTGTTTAGATTTGAACTCAAGATTGCTGTTGGGTTTTACTCAAATTCAAGAAACCGAAAGATTCGGAGGTTGCAACGATGCCATCTTAAATTTCTTTCAGATTCATATCTACGCAGTAAACTATAAGATTAGTTTTCCCTGCCAGCAAATTAGCATCTTCATGCCTGTGACCGTGATGTAAAGTAGTTGACTGGCTTTGGTTGAATGCCAAATCTAGAATTGATACCAACATTTCTAAGGTTTAGTGCTTTCCGATCAGAATTTGGTATGTTGAGTTGAGTTTTCTTCTGGGTTTAGATAAAAATCCCACTTTTTGGTCTGAGACTACCTAAGTCCTATGATTGAGGAGGTTGAATCTGATGAATCCTAAACCCATTTCTAGTTTGATCGAGACCAATGCTTAGTCTCGTGCCGTTGGCGAAAAATGACAGTTTCCTTATTGTGATTTGTGTACTAATTGGTTGTTTACCATTTGCTCAGCATTGAGATTTACAAGCACCCGAAAGAAGAACGGATAGCCAGAACCTGGGGAACCACTGCCTCTGGATTGCCATACGCAGAAGAGACAATAACCAAAGCCGGGAATTGGCTTATAGGCGGTGACCTCGAGGTTCTTGAACCGATCAAGTACCAAGACGGTCTTGATCGTTTCAGACTCTCGCCCTCTGAACTCCGTAAGGAGTTTGAGAAGCGTGGAGCCGATGCTGTCTTCGCTTTCCAGCTCAGGAACCCTGTTCACAACGGTCATGCCCTCCTCATGACCGATACCCGTCGCAGGCTTCTTGAAATGGGATACAAGAACCCGATTCTTCTGCTTCACCCACTCGGTGGCTACACAAAGGCGGATGACGTCCCTCTCAGTTGGCGAATGAGGCAACACGAGAAGGTATGCAAGCTTTTTGTGCTAATGCTACCTGGCAAAAACATGGAATTCCTCAAAGTTCAAGCCTTTAAAGTGTTAATAACGTTTGTAAATTGTTAGAATAAGATGTTTCCTACTTGAAAATAAGAAATGAGGGATTAGCTGATCCTAAATCGATAGTTTAAACCGATTTTGGTATAAGAAAAGGGAATCTGACATAGTTTCAAGTGACTAATAGCATTGTTAGGTGAATGTTTGGTTTTGAGAATGGAAATTGTTGTTTCTCTATATGCTAAAGAGTTTAACACGAATCAAAACAGGTTCTGGAGGAAGGCGTTCTTGATCCAGAGACAACAGTTGTTTCGATATTCCCGTCTCCTATGCACTACGCCGGTCCAACAGAGGTGCAATGGCACGCAAAGGCTCGGATCAATGCCGGTGCTAACTTTTACATCGTGGGTAGGGACCCAGCAGGAAAGGGTCGTCCCGTGGAGAAACGAGATCTC